GGGCGGCGGCTTGGTTGATGTTGGCGCGCCTGCTGGCCCGCCGTCCTCTGCAATCCTGTTGGGGCTGGGTTGTTGGGAACCGTTTCAACCAATGCCCCGCGCCGTGCTTATTCATTTTTGTCCCGGACAGCTTCGCTTATTTTGGGTGCGTCATTATCTGGGTGGGGGCCTTTTTTTTCTTATCTTCCGGTGGGGTGTTTATTGCGGGGTGCCGTTTGCGGTGCGCTCGATCACTTCCCATGCAGGCTGGGGCGCGCGCTGTGCTTTGGGCTTTCTCTGCCTTTACCTGCCTTTTTTGAAGTTTAGAGATATGGGTGAATAGAACCTCTCTGCAAGTGGCTGTTTCAAAGAGATGGGCGAAGTCTTATGCCCTTTTATTGGAGCTTTTGTAGTTTTTTTCATTATAGAAGAGATTTTGTGTTACTGCCACTTTTGCGTATGTTCTTTCTGGTGACAGCTCAGCGGACAGTTTATTGCGCGGAAACGTCTTCGCGATTGATGGCTTGGCTAAAGGGTGTTTACCTAGAAAGAGTGGCTGCGGGTTAATGTCCAGAAGCTACCTATGCGTAAGTAACACATTATAATAAAGGGTTAAAGATTATATGTTTATTTAAATTAATTAGACCATTTGCGGTATGCTGCGCCTATGATTGGGCTGGGGGTGGGTCCTAGGTGCATGAATAATTTCCTTCAATTCTTTCGTCTGCCTTTTTCCCTTTTGACCAAGCAAAAACTATTTAAGAACATATTCGGTCAAAGCAAGCGACAACTGTTTTCAGACGACTAAAATAAAATTGCATACAGAAATATTCTGCTCACAATCTCACTTTTCAGTAAAAAACAAAAAGAGAAAAAAACATGGGCACTTTAAGTGAGGCCCTCTCAAAATTTACTGCGATCTCGGCGCTTTCTTGATGACGCGCTGCAGGTGAGTTATGGCGTATTTTCTGAAAACATTTAAACTCCAAGAGAGAGTTTAAATTATTTTATAACTCAAATTTTTTTAATCTTAATTTAGAATACATGCAGCTTTTTCGTTTAGAATAATTGTCCGTGACATCTACTTCTCCCTTTTTTTTAAAAGAAAAAAAACATCTCTACCCACTGTTACACGATACCAAAATGACACGGGTTCAAAACAAATCCAAATGTTTTTTAAAATCTATACCCAAGCTTATTTTCTCGTTCTTTTGTATGGTTTCCGCAAGGCAATTGTGGTCTAACGGTCAAGATTCCCGCCTTCCAAGCGGGCGACCCGGGTTCGACTCCCGGCAATTGCAGCTTTTTAACGATCGACGCTATCGCCATCGATGGCGATACGCCTGTGTAAAAAAAAAAAACATTCACACCTTAGGGGTTTTCATATGATTTTTATCATACGACGTTCGTATCTCACACATACACTGCATCCACGTGGCAAGATGGTCGAGTGGTCTAAGACGTGACGTTCAGGTCGTCATCTCTCCGGAGGCGTGGGTTCAAACCCCACTCTTGTCAAACCTTTTTCTGTTATTGCCTAAACATCCCAACAGGCACAATTTTATTTCATTGTGCAAAAAAGGCCCTGCCGAGAATTGAACTCGGGACCCCTGGTTTACAAGACCAGTGCACTGCCACTGTGCTACAGAGCCGGACGGTACACTGTGTTGATAGGGTACTCGATATATGTGTAAAAAAACTTTTTCTTTTTAAAAAAAGTTCATGAGAAATTTTTAAAATATAGACCTAAATCATTTTCAAAGAGTTCCACAGTGATCTCGTGGCGCAATGGAAGCGCATCAGACTTCGGATCTGAGGGTTGCAGGTTCGAGTCCTGCCGGGATCGCATTTTTCCTTTTTCCCATTTTCTGAAAGGCTCCAAAAACCCACTATGAACAGAAACTCTATAATCAGAGAAATACATACAAAATGTTCACTCTTTTTCTGCAATGCCATATCTATTCAGTGGTGTTAACCCCCAAATTCAAAATCATGCTTCTAACAACCCACTATCGACTTAAGGTGTGAGACCCAAAAAGAAGTTACCTTTTCTTCAGACCCCGCTAGCTCCCCTTCGTCAAGACGTTTATCGAAAAAGCTCGTCTTCTCAAGACATTTGTCCGCTGGGTTTTCAGTGGGAATGGTATGCTGAAGAAACCGCGCTAATGGCGTGTTCTTCAACCACTACCAAACTCCGGAGAAGTTTCCAGGGGAGGACATTAAAATTCTGCATTTTTTTTTTCTTCTTGGGAGCTCTCTGAAGCAAAGTATTCCCCAACCACACTTTCAGATTAGGAGGCAAAAATTTTCTTTTGAAGGAAGACCCGGCAATGCTGGTCGAGCTGTGCAGGGGCCTCGTCTTGCATATTGGTGGAATGCGGGGTTATTATCCAATAAACCACTTGCAATCTTTAGCTCCCCAGTGTGGTAAAAATTAAATCTCACCCCAGCCGTGCTTCGACGCATCGGTTATCAGTGTGGCTGTTATTCTCTTCCAAGGTGTGATAATACTTTAGTTGTTATCCACTTACCTCGATCGCCACGTATTTTCAACCTATTTTCCAGGCGAAAAGAAGATACGCTAGTGGCAAGATCTGCACCACATTCCTCTATCCAAGACCGGTGGTATCTATCGAAGAGGGCTTAAAAAAAAAAACGAAATAAAATGCAATCAATCTTATGCCAAGCCCCGCCGCAGCGCCTAGGGAATCGGGACGCCATCACCCCAACCAAAAGTCGCAATGATGAAGTCCATTAGTGGCGGATGGGCCCTCACAGTGGCCTTTAGGCATTCTTCACTAGGTCCAATGGGGTAATTTTTATGGTTAAGATAAGAACATAAGAAGGTGTTATGATAGACTCCCGGACTCTCTGCCCCCCCCCTATTGCTTACGCCACACTCAGCTGCACACAAGTAGACCTTCTCTTCCAATGCAAGAACATACTGTCATCTGACTGAGAGACGAATATCATCTATTAATAGGTTCACTTCAATATTAGAAGGCGCTGCCCATTTCGGGTGCACCAGAATCACTGCTCCTGTTGTTGTGGAAGCCCAAAATCTCCAAAAACCTCCGGACCGGCCTTCTGCCCTCATGGGTAAACGAGTCAGTTTCACGGCAGTGTCACCCACCACTTGGCACTGAAAACAAATGCCGTGCATCCAACCGGAAGAGCAATCTGAAAGAATAAAGGCGGGAGGCCGAAGCGCGACGCCGCCTCCAACACAACTGCTGGTAGAAAACGAGCCGCGCTCTCCTCTTTCAGTGGCTGATTGCGTATTTGGCAGAACGTTACAAACTGGTCCACCAATGAAGCGTGTTGCTCCCACGCTAACGGGGGCCACATTTCTCTCGTCACCGCAAATTTCTCTTCTTTAAAGAATTG